CATTATTTTTATATCCAAAAATGCACTGATTACAATGTGTGTTGAAAGAAAATGTGTCGAATTTTTTTTTTTTTTTTTTTTTTTTTTTTTTTTTTTTTGCATTAAAAAATGCTTCATTGACCACAATTAATTCATTAATGTAATTACAAAAAGGTAGATAGGGTTAATGATATTTAATTTTTTTTGGGGGGGGGATTTTTTTTAATTTGCTTTCCATTATTTCTTTTATTTTTTTATAATGAATTAGTTTTAGATTTTTCTGTTTACCCGATCAAGAAAAGGATCACACGAAGGGTGAAATGTCGGCAGGGGATGCTTACTCCTCTCTGGCACCTGATCCCGCCTCTGTTTTCAGAGGTCCGTGTTGGCTATGCTAATAATTTCGTAGTTTTTATGGACTTTTGAAAATATTCAGTGTTCGTTATCTTTTCTCAGATGGTATGTTAGGAATGGGCTTCTTGCCTTGTTTATTGATTACACATTGCAGAAACTCGTCGTTTAATGTTCTTGTTGCACAGTTACCAAGTTTGAGAACATTAGTCTTTATGATTTACATATTTACAATTAAGATTTCAAGTAAGATCCGTTAATATTTTCATAAACGTAAATTGCTTCTGCTAGGTTTCCCTTTCAATCAAGATAATTTTTTTTCTTCTATTGTTCTTATTCATTTACATAAATGGACTTCTCAGCTAGCACTTCAAATTCTTTGAATAACAACATGCTTTATATGGAAATTAAATCACCGAAAAGGTTTCCAAGTTCTGTTCCATATATGTGTATTGAATGAAGCCGTACTTTGTTTTTACTGTGAACTATTGGTATGACAAACCAGTCATTGGTCTCTGTGAATGAAATCTGGCGGAAACGGTGAAAGATAATGCATTTTTTAATTACAAAATATCCAATATGAATAAGATTAATTTTGTTTCATCAAGTAGAAACAGTGACATTTTTCAATCTGCCGTTTCAGCAAAATATTTTATTTAAAGTTTTCCAATTTTGCCACAATTTGACAAAATTTATTATCACTACAACAAAAAACATAATTTTGTGAATTTGTGTTTAACAAATTCAGAAGAAGCATGTCACTGCCAGGGATGGGGTAATCGTAATCGAGTAATCGTAATCGATTGTAATGATTACTGTTTTTCAAGTAATCGACAGTAATCTGTAATCGAAGAGATTTTCGATTACTTGTAATCGTAATTTAATCGATTACAGCTAAAATTTTCAATGTAATTATAATTACTTTTTCGATTACTTTCGATTATTTTATACATAAATGGATGTTATTTTGGAGAATTAATTCCAGTCAGTCACACATAAATATCATATATAAACCACCTAGTGTAATGTTTGGATTTCCTAACTTTTCTTATCATAAGTTTAATAATGTTCTCAATAAAATTTGCATTATAGACATACTGGTCTAGTATTAAATAATTCAGAAGTGTATTTCAACCATTTATTAATAAAATATACAGAAATTTCGTGTGCATTTTACATTTGACCCAATGTCCTCTTGCTGCACGTCCTTTTTCATATTTCAGATGTTGAAAAACTTTGTCTTGTAATAGAAAATTATAAATAGCAAAAACAGATTTAAGTGTTGTATTAAATATAAATACTTTGGTACATAAACTACGTAGTTCTCGAAAAAAAAGATGGAAATACTTATTCATATCTGAAAATGTTTAAACAACTTCAAACTTGTGTTTTAGTAACTATTCTCATGTTTTCATTCAAAATTGTAAGGTTGCTTTTATATCAGTGAGGGGTTATAAGTGCCTGTAAGAGAGGGAGTAAGTGTCACTGTGTTTGCTTATCTTAATTGGCTAATCTAATTGACTGAGACATATCCCTGATTGCAGATAATGAGGTGTAAACTGTGAACTACCTTGTGTTTAACTATCATTCCATTGAAGACAAACAATATTATTAAAAGAATTAATAGCTCTCAAAACACTTATTTCAATATAGAATGAAACTGTGCTACATGTATTAGTTAAATTTCTTAAAGAAACATTTAATTTACATGTTTATTACTAAGAGTTCGCTCTAATTTACTTATTTTTTTTTGAAAAACACACGTACAGGAATGTTTAATGTGTACTGTCAACATACAGACAGCCCAAATACTTCTGATGAAGTAATTCACAATAAAATATTAAAAAAAATTTCAACAAGTCAATAAATATGGAGGTACAGATCTAAGGTTGAAAGGAATAATTAATTCCTTGGCATAATTTATTGTAGGAATCATGTCTCCATTTTTCATGGTAGAAAATCCCTCATTTGGGCATTTAGTGAGAATGTTTGCCAGAATAAAACCTTAAAAGAATCTGCACTGAAACTGCAGGAACACATTCAAACTTCAGTGGATAACATCAACATTTACCATTTAAATATCGCTTTGATATTTGAAGGGATAAAAACTAGGAAGTAATCGATTATTAATCGATTACATCTTCCAAAGTAATCTATTACAATCGATTACAGGACAAAAATGAGTGTAATCGATTAATAATCGATTACACAAAATTCCTCTAAGTAATCGATTATTAATCGATTACATTTTTCAGTAATCGTGCCCATCCCTGGTCACTGCTCACTTTTCCTTTAAAATAAAAGACTTTGAGAACCATGCAAAATGAAGGAAATTGTATTTTTCTTTTTCAGATACTGTCACGGTAGCTCAGTCGGTAGAGCGCTTGAAGTTAGCTCGAAGCTCGCCTGCTCGAAGGAAGGTCATGAGTTCGAATCGACCTAAGTTGATAAAAAAAAAATTAAACAATTGTTTCTTCGCCAATCGCTCAGCACTTTGAAGTGAAAGTTCTGGGTCCTTCGGATAAGACCTTAAAAACCGAGGCCCCGTGTCACGGCAGGCGTTGGCACGATAAAGATCCCTCGCTGCTCAATGGCCCTGAGTGCCGAGTAAAGGTCAAAATTTGAATCCTTTCACCGGTATAGGGTGACAGCTCTATATGAGTGAAAAATTCTCGAACGGGACGTAAAACGAAATACTGTCACAGTCAATAAATCTTTTTCATAAAAACATTATTAGATCTATGATATTTTCTTTAGGATTTCTAATAAGTATATTACACATTCTCATTCAAATTTTTAAGTTTTATTTAAAACATTTCAGAATGAAAACATCACATGATACAGACTAAAGTGTTTCTAAGGATAGGGATTTTGTTACAGGCCAAGTAAGAAAAAAAAGCCAAACCTTCTTATAAGAAAAAAAAAGAATGATCACTTGATTGATTGATTTTTATGTTGTTTTACGTTCAATTCGAAAATTTTTTCGCTCACCATACACCGGAGAAAGACTTCAAATTGAGACATACATGTATACTCGGTACTCAGGGTCATTTAGCAGTGATAGATCTTTATCATGTCTGCGCCTGCTGTGAAACGGAGCCTAGGTTTTTAAGGTCTACCAGTAAAGTCATATTAAATGTCTAAATTTGTAAATTTCTAATACTTAACTATGTCACATTTCAGTATTTTCCTCAGCATGCAGTGACAGTGTTTTCCTATAGTGATGGTTTTAATACCAAATTAAACTATTTACCTACGATATTATCTGCGTCACGTGTTACTCTTTTTGCATCTTCAATCAATTAATGTTGCAATGCAGAATTTTTAACGATTATTATTTTCTAACAAAGCTTTTACTGCCAAGCGTAAATTAACGTATAAATCACCTGAAACACATAAGTAGAATGATATCTGTTGTTATTATACATTTATTGCATGATCGTGAGGGAAACATGAAGATTTATTTAGCCAAGAAATATCAATATGAATATGATATTTCTTGGCTAAATAAATCTTCATGTTTCCCTCACAATCATGCAATAAATTGTTTATTATACCGAAACAAGCAAAAACCCTAAAAATTAACATAAACTTTCAAATTTGGCACCGCTCTTAAATTCACTTTCAATTTTAACGTAGTGTTACTGAAACAATTTACAGATTTCCATCAGCAATTTTGTGACGTGAACCAGGCTATTCTGACGTCTAAATTTAATGCTCTCAGGAGTTTTCGTTCAGCGAACGATAACTATTGCGGGAAAATGCATTAGGTCTCCGAAGAGGTTGAATATGATGAAAAGCATGACGACGGAAGGGAAATATGAAGTTTTATGGCCCTGTCACATGATAATCTAGAATCAATGAAATAACGCGTTGTATAGAATAATTATAATGAGGTATAATAAAGCCTTTTATGAATTCTGCAAGAATTAATGCTTGGTGTGTTTCAAAAGGATCAATACAAGATGTAAATGCACATTTGTAACATGTTACCACATGTCTTTATCTTATTAATATGATGTCAATGGAATGAGTGTGTTTTCTATTTGAATGACATATTTTTGTCTATTCGAATTTAATTCTGACATCTCAAAGGTATTAAAATGATAATAAATTGGTTACATATACAAGTGACTTCCATTATTCAAATCTTCAGATCAGCGTAATCTAGATTCTCATCAATTTATCAATTATACTTTTTTAACAGGGATTATTTGAGAAACTTTGACTTAAACTCTGATAAAAACACCGTTTTGTCTTAAGTTTGAAGGTTAAGCCCTCGATTCACTTTCTGGTTTTGGATTTCAAAAACAAATATGCAAAAAAAAAATCTCTTGCAAAAGGGAGTTCTCTCCTAATTTTGTTTTCAAATTAGAGCAATACAAGCATTGATATAAACGTAAAATTCTGGTAAAAAGAATATTAATTTGAAAAAATATGAAACAATAGAACATTACTTTTCATTCTTTGGCAGACATGTCACCTCATTAAACACGAAGTTAAATTTTACTGAATATACGAATGTTCGTAAAATGACATCCATCAAAAGCAGTGAACATGTTAATGTTCTTTTTTTATTAAAAAAAAATCCATTTATTCCGTAAATAGCGAATAAACAAATGAATTTTTACGAAAGATCAGAAATGGCTATTAAATATTTACAATCAAATTTAGTCTTCAAACGACTCTGCAAGCTCGAGAAAGCGTAGCACATGACTGTAATTATCATCTTTTCCTATCTTTTTTTCGAATTTATTGTCATCATTCAGAGATTTTTTAATGGACCGAAAGTCTCTTAGAATGGCAGACGTTGTTTTGTTTCTGTCAATAAATTCCGGTAACTGAGACTTTTTAATTAAGTGTTCCTGCTCCTTGCTGTTTCGTTTCCTTGGAATCGTGTCTATATCACGAATAACATTCTTAGTTTCTTTATCTATAAATTTTCTCATTGAATATGTTGTTTTGCAATTTCCTGGAAACATCATTTTGAACTCCTCTTTCAGATTCGGCTGATATTTTTTATGTCGTATCCTTTCCTTTTTCTCTTCCTCCTTGTGATCTTTGCTAGATTGTTCCCATAATGCAACACGCTTTATTGTCGGTAATAAGCACGCAGACATTTTAATCTGAGTATTATTTTCATCATCGCATTCTGAGACACTTTTACTTCGCATTTGATCCAATACATCTTTCTCCCTACAATCGGTGTCTATTGCAATCATTTCCAATGGTTTGGATATGTCTGGTAAACTTGTATGTACTCTTCCGCATGAAGGTGTCTTTTCTTTATGAACAATTTCGTCTATCATTGTTTTGCTTCTATGCAGTCTTGGTGATATGATTATTCTTTTTTCATTTGTTTTCTTTCCAGATACACTCTTTTGATTACATCGTTGGCTCTGAAGTTGTCTTCTGTCCTGACGCACTTTTTCTTCTTTTCGAAAGGGGTCATATTTCTCAAATCTATGTTGTTTAAAAACGCAGCCTGTTGCTAGGTACTTTAAAGCCAGATCTTTAAGTTCATGAATTTCTTTGCCCTTGTTTGTTCGGATAAAGGATTCCTCGCATTCAATTTGTTGAAGTTCGCGTTCAAGTTTCCACTTTTCTAAGCCATTTTGTGTTGATGTAAAAGACGCTGCTATACTGCTCATTCCATTGGACTGTAATATTAAAGGACCTGATTTCTTCATTCTGCACAAAAGAAAATGGACAAACGTGAGACAATTTTTACCCCCAGAATTTTTTTCTATCAAAAACACAAACCTTCTACTCGTGCATTTAAGATCAAATTTGATACTAGCAACAATATTAGGTCGGTCATTAACAGTGTTTTGATAAACAACTGTATTTCAAAGATTCATGTTACTTTTCAGATTAAGCAAACGAAAGTAAAACTTTAAAAAAAGTCTTATTTTTTATACCATGAATTGTGAAATTTTTCAGGTATTTTAATGGAACATTTTTTTCACCCATTTTGGAAAGGAGTTTTCAACGTCATTCAGGTAATACAGGTGATACTTGATTGAATCTCATTATAATTGTGAATCCTAGATCCGTCCAGTCGAAATATCAAATAATAATAAAAGCTAAAAAGCCTAAACATGGACTTTATATATACATGTATATGTATTCAGTAATAGGTCTATAAAGAAGTATGAGTATAACGTTCATTATATAAATTATTCCATTCTGACAAATGTTCATACAAGTCTTTTAAAATTTCTTGTTAACGTTGAAGAAAAAACATGTGCAAATAAAGGCTTTATATCAAGCATTACTTACATTTAAGTGTGAGGTTCTGAATCTTCTTCAGAGACATTTCCGGTAATTGTTTCTCTACAATAGTTTTCTGATACAATCCAACCTTTGCATAGCCCCTCTGCACCAACAGCTAATAATGATTACAATAACGTCTCGTTTGTTCAGTTTACATTTTTTTCAAAAATGATTCAAAATATTACAAAGGATGCATTTAAATGTTTTGAAATATCTTGATGGATTTTCGCCTTCAGGGAACAATGTTGGGTCAACATTTGTGTAATTATGTTTAAATTGATTAAAAGCATTCAAAATACGCACATATAACACGGCCATTTAAAAAGAAAGTATTGATTGAAATTGCCAATATTTTAAAAAAGAAGAATAGAATTTCTATATACTGAAAACGACGATCAATTCATCACAAATAGAGTAGAAAAAAAGCTCTCCCTTGAGTGTGTTGATCATCCTTTGTTAAGAAAAGTGTCACTAATTCAAGTTAAGGTTTTAGCGACATTGGTTCCATGGTGCTAAAAGACCTGGCACTCAATTTGTGTATCAAATGAGTGTTTGTGTTTTTATTTGTACTTAATTTGATTGTTACTGAGTGTTAATTTACACCATGTTGATACAAAGAATTTGATACCGTGTTGCATTTGAACTATCCCCTTACAAACTCTGTAACTTGTAACTAGGAAAATCGATTCTTATTATTATCCATTATACATCACAAAAACATTTGCTGTCCAATTTCATAATGATTTATTTAAAATAATCACTTATATGACAACCTTACAATTTTATCAAACAATTGGAAAGTTTATACTGTTTTTATCAATCAAAGTTATCTTTCTTACTTTATGTATTATAAGAAACAACGATACGTACTTGACAAAGTGCTTATTCAATCTTTCACTCGACCCGGAGCTTTTAAATCTAAAATTATCTAATATAATGAACAGAAAGGCATTTTTTAATGGCGCGGATCTCTCGATGCATTTTGTTTGCAGGTCTTTTGAAAAAATTATTTCAATCTCCTCTTCAATTTAAGGGTTCTAAGAAGTTCAACTGTTCAATATTAAATGTAGATAGGGAATTATTTCATAAGTGTACAGAATATTTTTTATATTTTCACGAGTGGGAAGCAAGAGTGAAAATATTTTGAAAAATCCTGTCTCACGAGGGGAAAAAAATCAATATCCAACAATAAAATATCAAATTTTCTAGCTGTGTATCACATTTTATTTGATTTTCAGTTTGCTTCTGTCTTTTCGTAACACATTGTCATATATAGGCATAATAAAACGCTTGAGACCTCATAGCTTAGGAATTGTAAGAAAACATTGTATACATTGATTTCATAACATATTTGGAGATTCAGAAACTTTGGAAGTTTTAGTCTCCTCCAGGATGGTTTTTACTCTCTATCTTATAAAAGCCCAGGGTGTATTTTTACAACACTTTCGTGAAGTGAATGAAAATCTCAAATTTTTGTTAGAATTTTGATATTCTTTCTCACTGTGACAAAATATAACTTGGATATTCTATCACATTGTGACATAATATAACTTTCATTCAATAAATAAATTTTCACTGATGAAAATTTAGTTAATAGTTATATTTTTTGTGAATCATGTAATTATTTTCATTATACGTATCATCCACTCTCTAAATACGGAAGTTTATTTTGATTTTTTGTAAACAGAATTTCTATTTCATCTCCTTCACTTTCATTGAATGTACAATATATCAATGTGATTTTTTTTTTCTAGAAAAAAATGTGTCCAGAATTTTTTGAAAGAGGGTAGGGATTGAGAAAATTCTTGTTTGGCATGATGTTCACATTTACACACATCTTTTTTTCTTCTTTTTCCTCTCTCTTTTTACCGTGACCATTTGCAATGGGACAACCACCCGTTGCCTCTCTCTCCTCCACTAAAGTCTTTTTAAACATACATCTGAGATATCAACAAAAGTGCTTGTAAAGAATTCTGATGTATGATAGCCTAAGTAAGGAGTTGATCCCTACGTCGCGGGTTCGAATCACACTGTGGGACGTGGAGACCGGTCCTTCGAATGAGACCGTATAAACCGAGGTCCCGTGTCGCAGTAGCTGCTTGCAAAAAAAGATCCCTCACTGCTCAATGGTCGAATTAACGAATATAGGTAAAAAATTTGCAGCCCTCCACCGCAAGTGGTGGCGTCTCCATGTGAGTGAAATAATCTCGAGAGGGACGTACGTTAACCAACAAACAAACAAAAAACAAACAAAAATATATGCACCGACTGTTAAATGTTTTTGAACTTATTTGATCGTAAATTAAAGGATATAAACATCAAATTTCTAAAATATTAAGAAATTGGTGACTTTCTATGATGTTCAAAATTCTTCCTTTCAGTCACCACTCTTAAAAATTAAAGCTATTATATTAAAAGAATCTTTAATCAATTTGTAGGACATAACTGAAAAAAAAAACTTTGAATGAAAAATGAAATTTTATGCGGATAAACTTGATCATTTTACTTGTATAAACATCTTTTTAAAAATGTTAATTTCATGGGTTTTTTCCCTCTTTTTTTCAGGAAAAGTTCGTTTGTAGTACATGTAATTAAGTAAGTTAGAAAGTAAATATTTTATTTTAGTGCCATGTGTATATAAACAAGCATTCTGCGAGTATTGCATTAGCAATACTAGTCCCCTACCGGCAAGTGTAATCTGGTTCCCGTTAAGAATTGAAAATGCCATAATTCTGTCAAAAATTAATGAAGCGGGACGAAATGCAAACTTGATCTATAACTAATCAAGGTAAAGCCACATACCAAAAATCAGCTCAATATCTACAAGCGTTTAGAAGAAAATTGCGGAAAACCCGTAAAAATTGAAAAGGCCGTAATTCCGTCAAAAATCAATGAAGCGGAACGAAATGCAAACTTGATCTGTAACTCATCAAGATACACTCACATACCAAAAATCAGCTCAATATCTGCAAGCGTTTAGGGAAAAAGTGCGGAAAACCAAGTGGGACAGACTGACAGACAGACAGACAGATAGACAGACAGACAGACGGACAGACAGACGGACGGACAGACTCGGAGGAAACCTATAGTCCCCTCCGGTTTCACCGGTAGGGGACTAACAAATACAATATACTAACAATAAATACCGGTATACATTGTATACACAGCCCATTGTACAATTTTTTTTTCACTTAAATTTACATAACAAAAAAGTATATACATTTTCAAAAAAGGGCGTATTAGTTAAATTAGATTTAAAGAGCAATCAATTTAACTAACAAAGAGCAATCAATTTAACTAACAAAGAGCAATCAATTTAACTAACCAGGTCCTTCCCACTGATTATACTTTGTCGGCTTTACAATTGTCTATGTAATGCCTGTAGTACGTTGGTTTTTTTTTTTTGGGGGGGGGGGGTTCCCACTTTTTTTGATTATAGTCTTTTGCTGTGTAGATTTGATATGTAAAATTTCATTTAGACCCTGTTTGCCCCCCCCCCCCCTTTACACATACACACACTTTTTTGTTAATAGTGTAAGGTCCAAAAAGGGCAAATGTGTTCTCGATTTAAAAAGCAGATCGATGAGAAATAACCTAGTATTCACTGACATTCCAAAGAATAGAGAGGAGAATTGTGAAGAAGTCCTACGAGATTTCTTAAAATCCAAACTGAAAAATCCTGACGTAATTCCTTTTGAAAGAGTACATTGGGAAAACCAGATGACTTGAGAACAAAGCCAAGGAACACTGTTGTTAAGTTCATTTTTTAAAGATTGCGAATTTGTTCGCTAACATGTCTATCTCAAACTGAAGGGATCCAAGGTTTGGTTAAACGAACAATTTCCACCGGAGGTTGAAGAGAAAGAGCGCAGGTTGTACCCAGTGACGCGGAGGGCGAAGAAAGAAAACAAACGTGCACGTGATTAACTCCTTATGGACATATTGTACATTGATTGTGAGATCTATGAATTCAATGCTACACAGGAAGACGTCAACGTTCGGAACTATTTAGCCCGCAGATTGCCCGGGAACTCAAGGGACGCAATAGGACGCGCAGCGGACCTGCCCATGAAGACAACCCTACACCACCACTGCTCGGAAGGAAATCATACACACCGACGAAATAGGAGAGCGCAGAGGGCCAGAAGTCAGCAAACAATTCTATTAAATTTCTAAGTCTAAATGTTTGCGGAATTGAAAATAAATTCAGTTATAATGAATGTGTTTTTGACATTAGATATATCAACGTTCTTTGGCAAATTTTAGCATGGTCTGATGACTATGTTTCACATTTGACTGTTTTTCAACAATACCTTTACACCTGTATTCTGTAAAAAAAAAAAAACCGGTAGGATAGAAAATGAAATTGAATTGTGTACGTCCGAATACAAAGGAGTTATCTACTTAAAGAGACAGTATGGCGCATCTCATCAAAAAACAGACTTGAAAAAAATTTCCGATAGAATTTGGAATTGTTTAACTACTCCTAAATGTATAAACTTTCGAAAAATTAAAAGTTTCATAACGAAATAATTTTTATTATTTCATTAAAATTAATAATAGTTTATGGACCATAAATATATACACATCGCAACGTGTTGGGATTCAACATTCCATGCTATTCACGCATGCGTACATGTACTTCTCTAAACAAGACAGCATGGTAAAAGAAGGTAGCCTGGTAGACCTGCTACCTTGACAAAGTTGAAGAAGGTAAAAAACTGATTTTTTATAGGCTTGAAAAGACGAATTTCCTAACTAAACTTTAGTTGGGGGATTAATTTAATCGTTGGATGAGGAAGAATTGAGGAACTTGGCGAGACCCATGCAGGGATCGCGAAGGTTCTCCCCGACAGGTTTGTTAATACATGTTTTCATTTCTCAATCGCTTTCAAAGAAAAAAGAGCAGTGTTAACTCAAAATAAAAATACACCTACGATATGTAGATATAATTGCCATTTAAAGTGCAAATTTTAACGGAACTGTCATGAAAATATTTTTGACGTTTTGCCGTAATAACGTTCGATTTGGTGATTTTCCCTTCTCGGACCCCAATACACAAAGCTTCAATATTTATATACAATTCTTTAAAATTCGCCTAAAAGCAGATTAAAAAGATCACGATTAATATTTTATCGGAAAATTTATGATATTTTGCTTCTGAGAATTGCTTTTACTTCATATTCCATTATAATTGTAAACTCTACAGTTTAGGCACGTGTTAATCAGAATTCATATGGCACAAATAAACTGATCTAAGGCTGCTTCGGTTTGTACGACCCTTAGATTTCCGGCAGATTCTAATTACGTAATTTTGTTTGAGAGGAGAATAGTCATGTTTCTTAAACTTTTGACATCAACTTTATTCCTTATTTCTTAACGATATATTGGATAGATTTGACTGAAAAAAACACACACTTTTTGCAGCCGTACTGTCGCTTTAAGTCCCTTTTAGCATACGGTACTGTATTTGATTTCATTCTGTAAAACGAAGTATTTCTAATTAAAAGCATTGTATATTTATAAAGAATAATTTAACATATCAAGAATTCAAGTCATTTTTTTAACACTAACCACACTTTAGAAATCCTCAACATTTCCCCCCCGCGGTTTCTCTATTACTTGGTGTTACGTGTTCGAGCGTAAGTCTCTCAGTACAACAATTTTCTAATGCATGACAATACCCGAAAAGAGAAAACGGAAGTCGAGAATAAAGTTATATTAACTTTTGATAAAGACAAACCATATTATTTTCAAGTTACAAGGTCTTCCCTGCCCTGGGTATATTGGGATTGGTAAGGGGGTAATGAAAAATCAAAAGGGGGGGGGGTGAAAATTATTAAATTCAAGCATGATAATTTTATGAGAGGTTTTTGGAGGCTAAGGCTGGCAACCGAATATTTTCCTCCAACTTACTGTTAAGCTATGTAAGTGGCCTATTAAAGTGTTATGAATGCTTGATTTGATCACAAATTAAGTAATAAACTGTACATTTCAATTTATTTTATTCTTGATCAAAGGGCACATCACTCTATCTGCATAAAAATACCACAAAATTAGAACTCTCTAGTGTGCAGTGTATAGAGGGCTCTTAAGAAAATTAAACATGTAGTATTAACAGATTAATATCGACAACACATTTATCTGACATTTTTTGGGCCATTTAAAATTTTCCAAAAATCTCTAGTATTTGTAAAGGGTATTGATTTCAATTTTTTAGTCATATCTATCCTTTAATAATCTTTAATTCATGAATCCAATTTTTTAAAATAGTATTTGCTTGTTAATTTGAGATTTACCTTATTTTCTGAACAGGAATGTTTGTTATATAATCACTTTGTCAAATGAAAATTCTTTTTTGGCCGTTCTGCACTCTCTATTGAACCAGGAATTATCACATTTCATTATACAATTTTTTTCTTACAACTGAAGCCAAATGTTGATTTAGCTGTGTTTAAAAATATGCCACATAGCTTATTAGAAACATCATTTATAGTATTTTTACAAATATTGCTTGTTATCAGTAGATTGTCAGCTTGATTTGTTTGATAAGGTTGTTACACCAGTACTTTTGTACGAATGCGAGATATGAGGTTTTGAGAATCTTAAAAATATATATTTAATCTGAAAAGTGATACCCCAAGCTATAGGGTTTATGAAGAAACAGGTCACTTCCCTTTGTATGTAAAAGGGAATTTAAGAATGATATCCCATTGGGCAAAATTACTGATAAGTCCTAAAAATAAGATTGTACATGTATGTGTTATATATCATTTTTTACCTGAGCAGTTTCGTACAGGGAGTCAAAACAATCCTTGGATTTCTTGTATTAAAAATATACTTGATCTTTGTGGATACTCAAATATGGAATGAACAAGCTTTTATAAATATTAAATGGTTAAAATTTTTAGTTGAACAACTTCTCAAAAATCAGTACATACAGAAATTGCAACGCGATATGCGCGATTCGTCCAAAGGTCATACATGTACATATGGTATCTTCAAAACAGAACTTTTATTTGAAAAACATTGAAATATACCACCTAAAAAATAGCACAATTTTAATTAAATTCAGAACTGTTTACCGCTGACTCCTGTGTATTAATAAAATTGTGTAATAGCATATCTAAAGCCTTATTGCTTTTGTTTTGTTTTTCTAACTTGTATGTGTTCCCGCTTTTTTAAGTGTATCTTTTATTTTTGGTCTTCGTATATATTGTACAAAGAACCTCATGTGCAACGAAGTGTTTTGAGTGAATAAATTGATTTGATTTGGACCAATTTCGGCGCATTCCTTAAGGAAATATTTATATTCTAAATGACACAAACATTGAGAGAGATAATCCACAACAAAAACAGATACTGCTGTCCGTCCCTAAAATTTCTCCTTATTTACCGGACACGGTCACATTACAACGAAATTACAAAATACCCTTTTTGATCTCTCATCTATTTCAAAGAATGTGACTCATCATGCCTTACATATTTAAGCAGATTTTTTTTCCATAAAAATTCTGTTTATGTAAGCAAATAAATTTTTTTACATGTACGGTTCTTTGTAATAAGGCTATATTAATACATGTTCAGTTAAATCAGTAAACTCTTGATCATTGGAAACAATTTTAAATGCATCATTGGCGTAATTTTCAAACTAGAATAAAATTTATTGAGAGAGCAATGATGTATTTATTTGCATATTACATTATCACATATAACAAAACCTACACGTAGTTTGTTTTGTTTGTCAAAAATTCAGTATATAGCGCATTTTTTAAAAAGAAGACAACAAACCAATATTGATGACAATTACAAAATATTTTCATATCCATAAAAAAAAATATATATGACAAAATGAGTAAGTAAATAGATAAATAAAATACAAGATAAATCATAACTTGTAACACTTCATCGACAAATTTCTTTGTTTTCAGTTATGATTTACCCTCTGAATATTAACTGTCTAAGATATCTATCAGAACTTATCACTGTCAATATGTTTTATTACATGTAGTAATAAAAGCGAGGTCACAAAGGTATAACGAAGGCGGCGTCTTTTTTCCTAAAATATGTGAGGCCCCGCACAGTATCGAGAAATGTGAAAATAATTTTTTCAGTATATAAACTTTTAACAACTACATATGCGGAAGTTGATTGAACACTTTGTATTATTTATGTGTACTATACAATTAACGGAAAGCCGTTAAAGTGACAAATTCCTGTGCACTAGTTCAAGAGTTTTATAGTTTCCTGTTACTTTGAATGGCCCCCTATACGTATATCACAAAAACTAAGGTAAATGTATAAAGGGACCAAGATTTCGCCGGTGAAAGGTTTAAGTTCTCACGAGGGTCATCGGATGAAGCCTTATTATGTTTATATAAGGACGTCAATGTGTGTTGTGTTCATCAAGATTTAAATATACAGGGGAATTATGGGATTAGATGTCGTTAAGGATGTAAAGAGCAGACCCAAATTAAGGTGTAAGTCAATTCCTGCTAGAGTGCCTAATACCTTACCGAATTCTGTGATTCTTAGACTAAAGACAAATGCCATCCGAAATAGAAGATTGTGTATTTATTTGAAATGTATTTTTGGAGCGATTGGAATTGTTTTCATGATTGTAGAAGGAGAATTATTTATTTCCAAAACACTGGAGAAAGACTCTTTTGCATCGAATGCCTTAAAATCTGTCATATCAATTTCTACGGCAATTTTACTTCTCTTTATAATTCTACAACACAAATATCAAAGACGAATTGAACAATACTTTAACCGGCATAGAAAATGGCGATGGTGTGTCGAGATGATCATTGAAATTTTGGTTTGCATTGTTCACCCTTTTCCTGGAAGTATGAAAATCCCGAAGCCTTTGCAAACAATGTCAAAAGAGAGTTCCGAATTGACACGAGATCATGTTTACCTCGACGGTTATCTGTCTTTGTTCATGATATTCCGTTTCTATTTGTTTGGACAATTAATTTCCGAGTTGCTTTCATCCCAACTATTTTCGAACAGAACGCTTGCTAAACACTTAGCAGGACTAACAAGTGTCAGGCTGAATTCTGCATTTATAATGAAATATCTCCTTTTTCGATACCCATTTAAATTTGTGATTGCCATCCTAATGATTGTTTTAATAACAAACTCCTATGCAATGCAGACTTGTGAGTCGTATACCTTCCCGGGCTCAGAAATGACGTCATTTCTGAACTCTCTCTGGTTGGTCATGATAACATTCTTAACAATAGGTTATGGAGACTTTTACCCCGTAAGTTTTTGCGGTAGGTGTGTGTCGGCTTCAACTGGTTTCTTGGGAATAGGCCTCACTGGTTTTATTTTCTCTGTTTTTGTTCATCAGTTTGAAATGAACCGTGACGAAAAGTATCTTCTGAAATTTTCCAAAGAAGAAAAGCGGAAGCAGCAGAGACGAATAGCTGCATCCAATGTTATCAAGTGCTTTTACAAGGCAGCAAAAAGTAAAGGACAAAAATCAAAATACCAGGTATGGAAAGTGAAGTTCTGGAAAGCGGTTAGTGTTATGAGACGATCTGCAAAGAAATGTAAATATTATCATGATATTGACCTGGTCGATATACAACGCACGGTTCAGAATATTGAGAAAAGACAGAATGAAATTCTTAATCTTCTGAGTCATTTGCGAGACAATCGTATGACGGACGAAAACTCAAACACGAGCCTGTAGATGTCAGATGCTACACCAATTGATATACATATACAATTAAATATAAAAAAGAGGGGAAAAGTGAAGTGTTTGATTAAGAAAAAAATATCTAGCGGTCTATCAGTTTGGTTCCATCAGAGGCACCCAACAAATGACTTGTATAACTTGTTCACAGAGACGCAGTTTAGCTTTTTTATTTAAGAAATACAATCCTGCGAGAAAATGTTTCTGGAACGTTGACTCCGTAATGAATTCTGGAACCGTTGTATTTATGTGAGTTGTTTACATATTTTGAATCTTTGTAATTTATACACATATTGTATATTAATTTATAAAATGTATATTCTTTTAATAAAACTGGATTTTGTTTTTTTTTTTTTGGGGGGGGGGTCTTTTACCTTCTTATTATACATCAAAAACTAACATATATCTTGAAAGTGTTTGACACACCGATACATTTCAATAAAACATTTTTTTGATATTATTTCTTTCATATAAATCAAGATTCTAGTATAACTTGTCAATAGGTCAAGGGTCAAATGACCATTATGTAGTGTTTTACAAGCAGGCAAAAAAAGTGTGTATTCTGATTGTTTTTGCGAGATTTGAAGATTGAAAAGATGTGGAATTGATTTCTAACATCCTAAGGGACCTAGGGATGATAATGAGTTATATAGTACAAAGGAGGTTTGTGTTTTGTTTCTCGTTTTTATTAAACACAAAGAACACAAAGAACAATGGAATGCGTCCTCCATTTTGAATTCCTATGCTCGCTCACTCGCTGGTTAGATAACTCATTTGTGATTAGTATGCTTTGAGTTCTACATCATTTAAAAACTTCTTAAAAACTTTCCTACAACCTGTGATTTCCAATTTATGTTTCAAAATTAAAAAATTACAATATGCCTAAACTGGGTAAAAAGTCACAACGTGGAGGTCAAGGACAGCCCCAAAGTGCCAAACCTCTCTCTAAAAGAGCTAGGGAGAATAGTAGTGAGTATGAAGACTTTGATGACGATGCTGAAGCAATAGTCGACACATTAGTTGGTGCATTAAATAAACCTGAAATAATGTCAAAATTTGTTGAATGCATCTGCTCTTCAAAAGTACTAGTAAAATCACTTGTCAGTCATCTCCTTCCTAGTCTGACAGAAACATTACAGAGTGTACTTGACCCTCTAAGAATATCTATTGATAATCTCACAGACCAGTTGAGGAAATCGGAAGAGAGATGTGTTGAATTAGAATTGAAAAATGATGATTTAGAGCAATATACGCGAAGACAAAATCTTAGAATATCCGGAATTACTGAAAATGAGAGTGAAAATACTGATGCCCTGGTAGCTGACTTTGTAAAAGAAACAATGAAAATTGACTTAAATATGCAAGACATTGACAGGAGCCACCGGGTAGGGAGACGTAACTCAAAACCAAACCGCGATATCATTGTCAAATTTACCTCATGGAAAGCAAGACATAATGTCATAAAGAGATGGAAAACAGTTCACGAGTACAATCAGTCTCATAACACTTCCTTCTATATTTTCGAAGATCTGACCAAAAACCGTTCTGCGATTTCGTATCAAGCAAGACAACTTAAAAAAAACAAAGAAATCAAAGATACGTGGACGGCAGATGGGAAAATCTTCATAAAATACCATGATGATAAAACAAAAATGTGTACAAGAATTGATGACCTTAAACCAGGTGCAGTATCCCAAACAAAAACATATGCCAGTGCGGCCATGGAAACAGTTGGACTTTCCTCACAGTGGCCACACTGACTGTAAATACCAAGGTGTCAGAGACCAGTCTGACTAAACAGACTTATACACCGGTTAAAACTTGCAATTTTGTTCTATGAACACAAAAAAACAATATATATATATATATATATTGCTCAGATTACCTAAAGTAGATATGTATATGCTTACCACATGTATCTGTGTAACTCCAGATCCACGTGCATTTCGACTTTATGGAAAATCCCTAATGTCACGTGATACTTCTCCAAAAAGGGAAAAACACAATTTATTTTTAGAATACCAATACACATCTTTTTTTATGCTGCGTATAGTACTACGCACAGTACTTATACTATCTTTTTATGACGTGGGAAAAGCTTCCCCTTATTATTCCTGTATATATTCAATTATTCTTTTTCCAAACAAGTTGCACTTTTCTTTGTTGTATTCTAGTGTATATTTGCACTTTTCCTCTTATATGTTCTTTATTTTCGTACCAGTGTAATTATTTTGCACTTAAAATGCTGAGTATAATCTTATCAAATTATTATGGAATTCTTGTTACAAATTATACATGTACGTATATCCTCCAAGTTGGCGAAAAACGGAAAAAATTGTTTACTGCTCCGGAAATTGTTGATCCTTTCAAATTGTATATTTATTTTGAACATGTCAACATCCTGTGTGTACCATGTGGTGAGACTCAGGTATTTTTTCTAATTATTCAATTGATAACTTATGATACACATGATTAATTTTCTTTTATGTGCTAAAAACCAGAGTCTCCCGAATTATTTATATATTCCAGATTGTCTGTCACTTATATGTAACTATTCAGACTTGAGGTTCACATGGCTCAATGTTGAATTACATACATCTGCATTTTTAAATGTGTTCAATAATTCTCATTATTATATTTTAGTATTGGGTTTTTTACTCATAATGGGTAATTTAGAAACAAACCCTGGACCAATACCAAATAATTCTGGAACTCGAAATTTAAGCATAGTCCATAATAATGTATGTAGTTTACTTAACAAAGTTGATGTGGTTTATAATGAGTTGTCTGAATATGATATTATTGGCATTACTGAAACTCACCTTGATAATAATATATCCAATGATGAAATCATGTTTCATGGTTTTCATCCTCCAATTAGAAAGGATCGTAATAGGTTTGGGGGTGGAATACTGTTTTATATTTCCCTAGACTTGCATTTTATCATAAGAGATGATCTTAATATTACTGACATTGAGCTTCTGTGGTGTGAAATACATATGCAAGATAATAAGAAAATTTTACTTGGTTTAATATATCGACCACCTAATTCCACTGTCTCCTACTTTGAGCGTCTTTCTGATTCACTAGATATAGTATCAAATGAGTCCATGCCAGTATTTCTTATGGGTGATTTTAACATTGATATGTTGAGCAGTGGAAATAATATTTTTAAACAATGTATGATACAAAAAAATTTATTAAACCTGATTAATGAACCAACAAATTTTACAACTACTCCTGGTACTTGTATAGATTTAGTTTTCACCAATAATCTAAGTATTGTAGATAATGTGTATGTAGCATCTCCATTCTGTAGTACACATTCACCTGTTAGTTTTGATATAAAATACAAAACTTTCAAACAATATGCTTATAAACGCACCATAAGAAACTATGAGGATGTTAATTTTAAAGATATTGAAAATGATCTTAACAAAGTCAATTGGGACTCCATGGTCTTTAATTCCTCAAACATAAATGAAATATATGATAATTTCTTACACACGTATGATGCTATCTTGGATAAACATATACCTAAAAAGGTAGTCACAATTAGGCCACGAGATAAACCATTCATGAATAATAGTATACGTCTAAGAATAAGGCAACGAAATCGTATACACAAAAAAGCGAAACGTAAAGATTGCCCAAACCTATGGTGTCATTTTAGAGAATTGCGAAATGAGGTAATTTCTATGGTTAGAAATGCCAAAGAAAAGTATAAGAAAAAACTTACATCTCAAATACTTAATAAAGATATTCCACCAGGAAAATGGTGGCGAATTACAAAATCAATTGCAAAACTTTCAAATAAACATAAACCTATGCCTCCCTTAAAATCAAATGGTCAAATTTTACTTCATCCATTAGAAAAGGCAGAAGCATTAAATAACTTTTACTCAAATGTTTCTAGTGTTGATGAAAGTAAAACCTTGCCTGAGCATGGACCTGGTCCTCCCTTAGTAACCATAGAAAACATATTTGTCACTGAACAAGATGTGGCTGATCAATTGAATAATTTAAATGTAAGCAAACCCCCTGGTCCAGATGGTATAACACCAAAGATTCTTAAACAATTATCCTCCTCCATCTGTGAACCACTAGTAAAACTTTTTAATAAGTCGTTTGAATTAAAGCGTTTACCAAATGTATGGAAGCAAGCTAATATTACCCCAGTATTTAAGGGTAAAGGTAGTCCTGACTTAGTTAATAACTATAGACCAATTTCACTAACTAGTAGTCTTTGCAAGATTATGGAAAAAATTATATTTAAATATTTGTACAATTTTATTTTAGAAAACAATATCTTAACAAAATACCAGTCAGGTTTCCAACCAAATGACTCAACTATCAACCAATTAGTGGAAATTTATAATACGATTATATCAAACCTAGATAAAGGTAAAGATGTTAGATTTATCTTCTGTGATATTTCAAAAGCTTTTGATAAAGTTTGGCATAAAGGTCTACTTTTTAAATTAGAATCATATGGTATTCAAGGTACATTATTAAAATGGATCGAAAATTATTTGGATGACAGAGTTCAAAGAGTGGCCTTAAATGGGTTCTATTCTAATTTTAAACCTATATCTGCAGGTGTTCCTCAGGGTTCTGTTCTAGGTCCTTTCTTATTCCTCCTGTATATTAATGACATAACTGATAATTTAGCTAATAATTCAAGGTTATTTGCAGATGATACATCACTGTTTATAATTGTAGATAATGATGTTAATGCAGCAGCAATATCACTTACGTCTGACTTAGATAAAATTAATAAATGGGCTTCAACATGGGCTGTGGATTTTAATCCAACCAAGACCTGTAATTTAAATTTTTCAAGAAGTCCGAATGACCATCCCCCAGTCCATTTTGGGTTTAATGGTAGTATTATTAATGAATCTAGAACACACTGTCATCTTGGACTCCTTTTCCAAAATGATGCCAAATGGTCATCTCATATAAATAATTTATATGAACTAGAGCCGAGCTCGTTGCAGAGCAACGA